TGAGTGCTAGTGATAATAGCATACATGTTTTAAACTACAGACTAAAGGGAAAAAAAGTAGAATTTCATTTTTTATGCATGTTTTTTTTTTTTTAGCTAAGACAAGTGAGGAAATTTTTAAAAATTTTGTTTTTTTAAATACATTGATCTCGAAGTCAGTAGTAAATATAGTAGTAGCTTTTAAGATAAAAGTTCAAAACATAGTTGATAGGCTTCTAAATAAACCCCTCCAAGATTTTTGTTGTTTTAAGCGATAGAATTTTTTTTACAGTGTTTAGTGTATAAGCAAAAAAATTTCTTATTTTTACTAATAAATGGTCATTTTAAAATAATATTTTTTTTGTGCAAATTTTATAAGTTTTTATACATAATAAAATAAACTAGTTTTTCTTAAAACTTTATAATAATATTTAAAAAAAAGTAGTCGAAACTATTCGGATATCTTAAAATATCGTATACATAAATGAATAATTATAATTAAAGACATACTTTTGAACCATTAAGATTTCTTAGTAGTAGGCAAAAATCTGATCATTAGATAAAAAGTTTTCTTTTTCGCCAGTTTTTCCTTTTGTGCACTGTAAACTTATGAAAAAGGAAATATAGATGAAATAAAAGAAACATGCTAATAGATATTGAAAAGAGAAACAAAAATTTTAAATTTTGAGCAGAAAATTTATTTATTTTTTAACTCTGCAACTATTTAGCATGCATAAAGCAGAATTTTATTTAGGTCAAAGAGTTTATAAATTCGATAATGAAATTCATTAAAAAAAACCTATACACATGTAAAGTAGTTTTCAAAATATGAAATGAAAAAAGTTTCCGTCATACTCGATTTGAATGATTACCTTTTTCTACGATAAGATAAAAGTATTGTGAATAGCAGTGGTTCAAAAAAGTGTCCTATCGAAGCCCTAAGGTTCCGTGGAAGAGGGTTCCAAATTAGGACTTCTTTTTTATCATTTCTTTCTTTCAGTTATGATTTACGAAATTTGTAATTAAAGTTAGATCTAATCACTCATACAGTATTTATTATGAAATTATGTCAGTAAAATGTTAGTGAAGAAAGAGAAACAAAATTTTAAAAATATATGTACAAATATCATCATTATATAAAATGTATAATGAAAAAGATATACATTCATAAAAAAATTGCATTAGAAATTTCGCATGGAATCTTTCAATTTAACATGAAATAACCATGTTTTGTAAAGAATTATGTTTTTCTAAAAACAATTATCAACATTTATTTTCGAGCAATTATGTTTTTCTAAAAGCAATTATCATGATTTATTTTCGGCCTCTAGTTTTCGCGTAAATTCTACTCCCGACCTGTGAATTGAACTGAAAACCTAATTTTAAGATTTCGATTGACGAAAAGCTGAAAAAAATTTAATGAATTTGTAGTCTTTCATTGATTAACATGTTCACAAGTACTAATGAACTTCATAAGTTTAGGAGTTAATTAGCCAAAAAAAATAAATAAATAAATAGGAATCGTTGGTAAATGATTTTTTGAACTGACTCTCAATCAAGATCTTTCATTAATGTTCAATTAATTCTGGTACAAGTTCTGCCCTCTAGTAGCGGCCAAGTAAAGTTAAAACTACCCTGTAGAGTTGAGAGTCCTACCACAAAGTCATTATTATGTATTGAGCATTTATAAATTTTGCTTAATTTCAGACGCAACGTAACGATTCGAGGAGAGATAATAGTTAAAAATCAAAAAGATTTATTATTCATTATGGTAAAAATGTGATAGCTGATTGTGTTAAATATTTAAAAAATTATATAACTTCTTACTTTTTTAAAAAAAATATTTATATCAAATTAATCTCTCTCTTTCTCGATCGAACAACAACATAGATTACCTTTTAAAAATTTATAAGGTCTTAATTTTTTTTTATCGCTCCAGAAATGATTTTATTAAAATTGTTTTCTCGGTTTTCTCTACTCTTCAAAGAAAACAATGCAGGTTCTGCCATCTATCAATCAAAAAAGTAAATGTAAACTAACCTCCGCAATATCGGTCCACTTAACGATGTATTATGAACTAAGACTATTTTTTATTTATTTGAAAGATGAAACCAATAACAAATAAGATGAAATATTTCAATCACAGTTTAAATATATTTTCTTTCCTCATTATATCAGAGTATTTTACAATAGCAATGACCTTTATTAATTTTAGAATCTGCCATACTTTTTCGTTTTATAACTATTTTTATCAATCAGCAACTGCTTGTTAAAAGTATGTTGATTAAAACACATAATTTAAATGAAACTATTAACTTTAAAATCCCTACTTCAGAATTTTCATATTTCTTTTGTGTAATGAAAGAGAGACAATGATGCTGTTACGATTGTTGAATATTTAAAATTTTGGCATGGTTCTACAAATGTCGATGACTATTTTTCCAGAAGCCACCACATTAAAAAATGGAGAGTAGCGTAAAGACAACACTTTCCATTTAAATCTTTTTTTTTACTGATTTAATTGTTTTCTTTCAATAGTTTCTTTCATAAACGATTGCATTTTAGCGAACGGAACTGAAAAAACTGGTTAAAATATATCACACATCCAGGTAAAAATGGCGATTATTATATCATGGTGCCGTGGCAATAGCAATGTGGAATTTTTGAATCTTGGCATTTTATGATAAAAAAACTGTTTTTTTTTTCGATGATTAATTCCATTGAAGAGAACAAAAATTTTTACATTAAAAAAAGTAGATTTTACACAAAAAAAATCCTTGCATGTGTCTTTTGGTATTAGATTTTTTAAACGGATAATTAGATCGATACATTAAAAAAAAAACAAACATTGATACATTTTATTATGAAAGTTTTACAGTATTCCTTCAAAAAATAATCTATAATTGCTCGGTTACAAAACATAATTTTTAAGTCAATAAGAATAATAACAGAAAACATTATTACAGCTCAAAGTTTCGCTAGAAACATTATTTTTGTACAGGATATGCAAACACGTTTTCTTAGCAATACTACTTGTGAGCTCAAAATCTCTGTAGTCAGAAATAAGTGTCTAATATTTAATTATTAAAACTAATTAAATATATATGGTAATATAAAATTTATTTTAATCTAAAATGTATGTGCATTTGAAATTAATTTATGTATGATTCATAATTTTAAATAAAAAAATTGTGAGACGTTTAAAATAATTTTTAAAAATTCATCTTTATTTAAATTTTTAAAAGGTGACCACTGATGACGTCGGCAAGCCACATGATACACATCGAATTCCACTCTTACGAGTAGAGTTTATGATTTTTGGAATTGAATTCAAAACATAAATAGTTAAATTAGTTTAAATTGAATATTATAACATATTGCCCACAAGTTTTAGATGACACATCCAAAAATTTTTGAAAATGTATTATAAAACAAGAATTTGTAGAGAGCAAGGGGAAAAAAAAACCCCAAGGAATTTTTCATGAAACTTAACTTATCTGCTTTTAGGAAATGTTTTTCTAACAAATTTTTATTCAAAAATATTTTATGGGCATTTTGATTAACAATAAAAAAAAATTTACATTTATGTTACAAGGTGAAAAGATTTTGTTCTTCTCCGATCATTTAATTGAGTGGTTCTCAATATTTTCGGCTATAAAAACCCTAAGCGATCTCACTTTTAGCTTTCCTGACTTCATACATAAAGTTCATAAGCAAATGTGAATATATGTATTTACCGAAAGCATAACTATTTTGAATGGACTACTAATTATTATAAAAAGTTTTCATCTGAAGAAAATTTTTTTTGATCATTTTATCAATATTAGTTTTAAAATTAGATTTTACGCCAGGCAAATGAATTTGCAGAACTACAGAGGCATTTTAGTCTACTTTTGAGTTATCTAAAAATGTATCGAGTAAGCTGAATTATGGTTTTTCTTGAAATGAAATAGATATATATATATATAAAAGTATTAAAAGTGATTATCAGGTAAACATGTTTCTTTATGGATAATTTTTTTTTTTTTTTGAATTGAGAAGTTCAGTGGGAAATATTGATTATATTTTTTATAAATGTGTTCTTCTTCACAACTTATGTATTGTATTTAGACTAACTATATGTGTTTCAAAGATTTGCTATATTTTCCACTGTCATTTTACTTAAATAATTTCTTAAAAATAACTGAAATATTAACTAAACAATGGATTATTTATTAGATATAATTATAGGTTTCCAAAGTCAGAACTGGTTAAAATCAGTCCCGACTCTGAGAACCCCTATAACCCTTCCATGGGACCCTAGGGACACCATTTATGAAGCACTTTAATTAACATATATTTAAATCTTATTAATAGATTATTCATGTAACATATCATCTTAGATGATAATTCCATAATTATAAAACAATATCTTATAAAATGTTGGTGTTCCATAAATGACATGAATTAGATTAGATACCAAATGAAAATTATAAATGTCCTACAGAGTTGATGTTTACTTTGGCATCCATCTTTCGACTTTTAATACCATGGTCAATGTCATTTACAAAAAAGATCTCATTATCAGCACATTATTTGTTAAACTTTTTACATTGGTTTTTATGTGATAATTTTTTAAAATTCAAAATGAGCATTTTTAAAAGTTGCTATTTAAATTCAAATTTCATAATAAAAAGCACATAAGTTTTAGCTGTGATTTGACTACTAAATATTTTTCAATGTGTTGAGACTATTAGTGTTCCAATTCATTTGAAACATTAGCTATAACAAATACAAGGGTCTGTCCTGGGCAAATTTACTACCGTTTAGCGGTGCCTTCACAAAATGCTTTTTCTTAAAATTTTATTTCTGTATCCCGTAAGAAACGATAAATCCATATTTTTGTGTTGATTTTTAATATAATTTTTAATTTTCACAAATTATGTCTAAATTTTCAGAAAATGGGTACCTCTCAGAAAAACCTAGACAGACCCCTGCAAATAGTTTGTTGACTTCTTCACATATAATGAAAATAACATAAACTTTTACTAATATCATCTATTTATTGAATCTGATCCTACAGTCCTTTCAATTTTTTCTAATAATATTTCCATTCGGCCCTTCATAACAGGTTGACCCCATTTGGTTCTTTGAGATAATTTTTTCATATTAAGCCTTTTCTTCTGCTCATATTTTTTCCTCGCTTCTTCTCTTTCTTTCCTTTTAGCTTCTATAGCCTATGAAGCAAAAAATACCATAGTTAGTTCAAAATATTTAATACTATGCTCATAATCATGAGGTTGTCTATTATGGCAGGTAGGTAATTCTAAAAATTCAGTCATGGAAAATCTGGTGATCTTTTCCAAAGGATATTTTTCCCCTCTGTACATAGATAATTTCAAATAGCAATTTGCTATGGGTATAAAAAAAAAAAAATATCACTAAAAACTGAAGAGTATTGTAGTTGCACTACTAAAGAAGTATCATAAGAATGTTTACAATAATCTTTAAAATAAATAATAATAATAGTTAATAAAAGGTTTTTACATTTTTGAATTATAATAAAAAACAAATTATAATTGACGGAGCGCATATTTATTTATAAAATTATACATTAGTAACAAGTAATTTAGTAAACTTCTCCTATTTTGTCAGTTTTCAGAATATCATTTGACGAATAAATTTATTTTATTTCATAAAAACTTTTTTTAAATTTAAGATTAAAAATATATTTAACTTTATTAAGTTCAAAATGCATTTCACAGCCATTAACAATTTTTCTTTAAATTTCATTTATAATATTTATTTAGTTAAGAAACTGTAAATAATTTAAAGCAATGATAGGTTTTAATTTAATATTAATGTAGAAAAAAATTAAATTAAAAAAATTTCAAGCAACTTCATTTACAAGTATTTGTTTTTGGTATTTGTAGTCTATGAAAGGACCCATATTTTCTAAAGTTGATCTAAAAAAGCAGGATCATAAAAATATTTAAAACCATGTTTTACTTCTATGCAAATGACTATGTTTTGAGGGGTAAATTTAAGAAAGATTATATACTACCTCTTTGAAACTTCTATAGTAAAAGTGTTTGAGATGTTTTGACACTATATGTACTCTTATTTCAAGGTATGATAGATATTTGTCAAATTTACTCTTATTGATTAAGGTGAGCTGAAAGTAGTATTATTTCATTTTCAATATCATATAATGTTATTGAAAGGAAAAAATTGTCTTTATTGTTCTGTAATGTTGCACACTACAGAATTATTAAAGATAAGGAAATGTGCATTTTAAAACACCAATTTAATCCCTTGACAATGGACCTACTCATAATTTTTTACATTCAACCCTGTTTCAAACCCTGCCATCAGTCATATTTTTGTGCACCTCGTAATACACCTCATGATTTCTTAGAGGTTTGAAAACCACTGGTTGTGCCGAGCAGCAGCAAATGTTTACATTAATATTGTATACATTGCAACAAACATTGATTGAAATTATGACATATATAACAGAAAATGTAAATGAGTTTTAATATATAATAAAGGTACAGATTTTTTTTTCCTATAGAAAACTGAAATTTATATTCCATGGTAAGTATAGAAATTTAAAGTTATATTTTTAGTCCTAAAAAAGGTATTTAGTAACATTTGAGGTATTTATTACACTAAAACTTATACATCATTTGAATTTGCTGCTTTTTATGCAATTAGAATTAATATTTGTTATAATGTTACCAATATAAAAACCAAAATTAGCATAAACTTTTTATTACGGAAAAACATTACATATCATTATAAATTGTAGGTAGAAGTTCACGAAAATCTAATTGTAATGGTGGAATTTTAAATGAAGTAAAAGAATAAATAAAAATAATAAATTACCCCAGTCAGATAATGGAATATAGCAATTTAAATGGCTTTAAACCAAATTATTAGTCAATTTTTTTTTAAAAATAAAAATTTATTTTAAAAAACAAAGATTATGAAACTTAACTTAAAATGTTCAAAAAATGATAGGTACTTCAATTCTAACTTGATACATCGCTATAGTAATCAAACTTAGTAATTGGATCCTGAGGCCTCAAAAATATTATGATTAGGTAAATTATTTAATAATATTATTGTCACAAATTAAATACAAAAAAGTCATGCCAGTGATATCATCCAAACCCATTAAAAGTGGGCACATATGTCTTAATGTTGCTACAGGCAAACTACATTACAACACCAGGTGCTGAAATCTAAGTCTCATACAAGGGTAAAATAAGAGGAGAAAAGATCATTTTGGGGCAGCTATATTACGAGCTCAAGCATAGCAGTAAATCAATTCTCTTGCACTACAAATAATTTAAGAAGCCATTAAATTCCAAGAAACTCAAAAGGTAAGATATAAATTGATTTAAAAACAAGAAATTGGAAATAACAGTTGACATGTGTCAGGAGCCAGATAATAAGAAGTAGAAAATATTGCCAACTGCTTTTCAATGCAATGGTAATTTCTACAAACATATTGAAAGTTAAGCCACAATTAACTTCTTTTCTTCCATTTTTTATGATACATACATTATTTCGAAGTAAAAGTTTTTAAATTGTTTGTATTCTCATGTTGGAAAAGATACGCTGATGATACGTTTAGCTTAGTTAGACAGTGATACTGATTTTGAAGAGTTACTTTCTGTTGTCTACTCAATTGACTCCATCATTCATGCGCAAATTAATTTAGAAGCTTTAAACATAGAAATTAATTTTACATGTTCTTATAACTAAATACCTGATCATTTCCCCACATCTGTTAATCGTAAACTCTTTGCTACCTCATGCCAATTCTAATCACTTTAATCCTTTGACGGTTAGGGAAATGAGCAGTTTTCATTTAATTAATTCGAGCAGTATTACAAGCAAACAGTAGTCGAAAGTGGCAGCTGTTTCCCCCCGCCGTTCTTCCGAAAATGTCTCACTTCTCTGGCAATGCCTCATGCGTTTTAAAACTTTCTTAAAGTATTTGTAGTACATTTATGTACTTTAAAATAATTAATAAATGAAAATTATCAATAGTAAATTATAAATGATTATAATCAATGATATAAATAATTATAAATATAAGACAAATATTAAATTACAACTAATGTAGAACTTTATGAAGCATTTAAATACAGTAATTACCTAAATACTCTGAACAAAGTCTTCATCAGACTCAAAACTTCATAAGCTTTCTCCATCACAATCATCATCATAATTAGCTAACTTTCGCTTTTCAGCCATTTTACTTTACAAACGCGCCAAAATACACTTGAAAAGAACAAGGTAAAAAAATTAATTCCCCCTTCATTATGAAAAGAAATTTAAGGAACCGGTACTGCCATCTGTAGGCAGTAAAACTAACTACGCTTCATGAGTAGGATTCATTTTTAACATAATCAATGCAGAATAATAATGGCGAACAAGCTCAGCGCGCATTGGGGGGAAATTTCACTATGGGAGTAGTGCTCGTTACTAACCATAACGGTCGAAATCTTGCTCTCGAGCGAAACTCGTTTGATTGCGAGCCGAACTCGCTCATAACCGCCAAAGGGTTAATTGTCAGAAAATTTCTGCATTTCAAACTTTTGTTTCCTATGCACTAAATCTTTAAACATAATTTCCTGCACTTACTTTCTTGCTGCTTATCGTGTATTTAACCAAACTCACTTCTTTTGATCCTTGCAGAGAATTTGTTACTTTAGTGTTTTTTTCCCAGTTTGCTAATATCCTCTCCTATTTTTAGTTTTAAAGTCATCTTTAGCTCAATTAAGAAAATCATATTAAAATCTCTAAAGATCCTAGTTTTGACAATTGATGGGATATTTACCACATTACTTGTCAGTGTCTATGCTACATTGAACAAACTAGACGAACATTAAAATTTAGACTTAGAGAACACAATAGTCATGTCAGTTACCAATAATACGAGAAATTTGTGAATATATAGAATTTCAAAATTATTTCTACCCCAGTCACATCAGCTAATCTTGAAATCCAGGAATTTTGTTTTATTCACATGAATTCTGATGTTCATGACGACACTGCCACCTCTCCATAGCAAAGGAAATGCATTTTAGTAGCTGCTGTGATTTTTGAAATTTTGTTTCTCACACCTATTTTCCCATTTTACATCTCAAATCACTTGTGCTCATTGCAAATCAAGTCTGGCAATAAAGTCTTCATTCAAGCAAAAAAAAAAGTTATTAAATTTCAGTGTAACAGGATTAGGTTATAAAATATCTAAATAAATAAATCTTTTGAAGTTTCGTCATCACTGTTTGAACAGATGCATAACTGAGAATTCCTAACCTAATTCTCAGTTCCTAATTAAACTTTGATTAAATTATAGTACAGAGTCATATACATTAATTTCTATTAAAGTTAGAAACATAAAGGAAACAATAGCCTAAACTTTTCTCGTAAGTTGACATAATAAAATTCAAAGGATTTAATTTTTTTTTGTTTCAGTCATTTATAGGCGCAACTGCATTTTCAAGCAAACTATTATTAAAATTCTTTCAATGGGACTGGGGAACACTTTTTGGTATCTACACTTTTGAATTTTTATAAGTTCAAAAATTAACTTTTTGATGATAGAATAGGATTGTCTGTAGTCTCATTAAATAAAATGGGAACATGTACAATAAAAACGAGTTACATGACAATGCATTGGTCACTGATGCTATAACACCAGCAAGAATCTTATCTTTATGATTAAGTAAAAGCTTCCATGCAGTGTTAATAAAAATTAACTTATAAAAATTGATAAGGTTTGTCCCTTCTTAAGTAACAAAGCCATCTAATGACATTGGATTGGTAATATACGATTCACAAAATAAATGTAAAGCCATATTTTTACCATCATGTTTCAATATACATTTGCTATGCACAAATAAAAAAAAAAAGGAATTAAAACTTAAAGATATCTATAACTGCAATAGATCATTTACTTGAAAAGAATAGTTATAACTTAAACTATTTTTTATTTATTAGATATTTAAGCTAAATCAATGATAATACCCTTCAATAAAATAACGTTTATAAAAATTAAAGTTAGATTTTTTTCATATGTTTTATAAGCAATAAGAAAAAAAATTATTTGGTATCTTGCATAGTTAATAAAAGAAAACTATTGATATGAATTGTATTTTTGAAGGTAGTTGGATGAGAAACATACATTACCTTCTTACATTGTAGAAATGTAGCATTC